TCCATTTTTCTTTGTAAATTGATTTATAAATTATATAAAACTGTTGTTTCATAATTACCTTGAGTAATAAATTATCTTTTAATATATATTTTTTAATTACAATATTTATTACAATTTTTGTTTGAAATATCAATTTGCTAGTGAACTAAATAAATTAGCAATTTTATAATAATTTTTATTAAAATTAATACAAAACAATAAAAATACTGTACAAACATTTTTTTCTCATTCATAACGCTATATGCATATCTGGTTCTATAACTATTTCATTTATATCAACTAATGCTTTAACATCTTCAATTTGTTTATTATCAAACACAAGTCTCACAATAGTTTCAGCCACATTAATTTTATCCACAGATGATGGCAGATCTAAAACATATCCAATAATTATATATATATATATATATATATATATATATATATATATATATATATATATACAAATATCATAATGACCTAGCTTTCATTTACCTGTTTTATTCGTTTCGCCTTTCTTATGAGTATTCATATGTGCTGCTAAACAATGCGATTGTATAAAACCTTTCCCACATACATTACAAATATGGTCTCGTTGTCCTGTGTGTATTTTTTTATGAACTGCCAAAGTGCTAGCACGATTAAAGGATTTTGAACAAAAGTTACACTGATAAGGCTTTTCTCCAGAGTGTATTAAGGAGTGGCGCTTTAACTGATCTTTAGCAGAAAATCTATAAAGAAAATCAAGATGAACTAAGTAATATTATAATTGTATTTATTATTTATATACCTTTTATTGCAGACTGTGCACGGATACGGTTTTTCACCAGAGTGTGATCTTAAATGTAGTTTTAAGTTATGAGAAAACCGATAACCCTGGCCACAAATATTACAGATGTATGATTTTTCATTTGTGTGTGTTAACATGTGCTTTTTGAAGTCACTTTTTTGTATACAGCCTTTTCCACATATCATACAGAGGTGAGGTCTTTCACCTAAAAGAAAAATAATATTAGAGGAAAACTAATAAAAAAGTTATATAGTTATTACTATTAGTTATTATTAACTTCCCGTAGGGTAGTTATAGTAATAGGCCGAAAATCGAAAATGAAAATTTAGTGCATTTTTCGACGTTTTGAAGGTTTCTGAATTTTACTGGCATACCTCAGGAAAAAATGGATGTATGTGTGTGTGTGTGTGCTTTGTATGTCCGCATTTTTTCGTCCACGTTTTCGGGCGCACGGATCAACCGATTTGAATAGTTTAAAAAACATTCGATTCCTATTGAGATGTGCTGATTAGTTTTTTGCAAAGGCAGGTCCAGACGTTACGGAGATATGGAGCAAAGAGTGCAGAAAATAGAAATCGAGTTTCTGATTTCATCTGATTTGCATGATCCAAAAAACATTCAATTTGTAATGACGGGGAAAAGTGGTTAATCGTTTTTGGCAAAGGTAGGCCCAGCGGTTTCGGAGATACAGAGCTAAATGTTGAAAAAATGGCAGTTTTTGAGGAGACTAAGCGTCCGACGTTTCAACAACATAATTGCTTTTGGAAAAAAAATTATTTCCAATTTTTTTCCATAAAATATTTTCGTAATTTTGGATTAAAAATTCAAAAAATTACCCAGGCTAAGCACAGTCTAAGCGCCACTCTGGTGCAAATGTTTACGCAAGCGCATGTAGACTATTTATATACTGGGGCGCTTTTCCAATTTTGTGAAAACTATTGAAAAATGTGAAAATGCCGCCAAACTAAGCATAGTATAAGTGAAAATGTCGCACGGAATTGTTTGCAAATGCGTTTAGACTGTAACTATGCGGGAGCACTTTTTCAATCTTGTGTAAATAAGGCAACTATTTTTTTTTTTGATATTGAATTCAAAATGAAATGACGATTGTTAATGTTCTGGAGATAAATTGATTGATTTATGACTTACATTTGATTTGCTTACTCAGATATAAAAAGAAAATGCAAAAATAATGAAAGTTACAGTATTTGTAATAATATATTTGAAAACGTTTAAAATTTCTCGAATATTTCACTACGGTACAGGAAGTTCCAGCAATTTGGCTTAAGGCACGATGCCATACACCACTAGTTATAGTTTATTACCTGTGTGGGTCATTTTATGATTCCTCAACGAAGCAGCCTGTCGGTATCGTTTACCACATATATCACATTCATGAGGATTTTCGCTTTCATGTGTTGCCATGTGGCCATCATATGAGTTTTTGGTTTTGAAACTGGCACCACATTGGCTGCACAAATAAGAGTTGTTATCAGAGTGCAATTGCAGGTGATATTTAAGAGAAGAGTATGTTTTTAATTCTTTATTGCACTGAGGACATGTATGTTTATTATTTGTTTGACATTTTGTTAAATTTTTTTGGTTGTGTTGCTCACTCTGTTTGTTCTTGTCAACACCAGGATCAGTTTTCAAGATGATTTCTTCAGTGGAGTTTGAGCTGGAAACACTTGAGAAGGTAATGGAATTTATAGTGTTTAAAGTGATTTTATTGTCATTATTAGGTGTTGGTGTTTTTTGTCGTAAAACGGTGTCGCTATCGCGACATTTTTGAATGAACTTAAGTGTTTTATTCAATTGTGCAAAACATGTGTGACATATCTGTTCCGGCAAACCGTCGTCCGCCATAACCTAAGGTAAGACGTCAAAAATTAATACAACATGAAATCACATACATCAGCTATATTCTTATATTTCTTATTATTTATATAAACTATCCATTATCCTTTATCTTTTACCTGTATTTGAGTACAAGAAACTAATATCTCAGCAAGTTGCTTATCGTTGAACAAAAAATGCATTTTTCCTTTATCGCCTAAACAAACTCGACAAATTGTTGTAGGTTCATAAATAGTCTCCATTTCGAGGGTTAATTAATATTTTAATTATTATTATTTATTGATATTCATTGTTTTTATTTTGATTGTGTTTTGATGTTAATGAGAGTTTGACAGCTGTCTGAAGTTTGACATGAAGTTGTTGATGGTGGAAAATGGCGCCGTTTTTGAATTGTTTGGATTTGAATATTTTTGTAAATGGGGGTTTTATGTTGACCTTAATTTGTAACTAATTTGTAATTAATGAATCAGTAATCGTAGATATGTATATACTTCACATATATCTTTCACAATTTATGCAAAGAAGTAGGTTTTGTAAAGTCTAATTGGTTTTATTCTTGAATTTGTGATTTTTTTTTTGAAAAATGTGTCCCAAAGCAAATTATACTAATTGTATCCAAATACTCTCTTTGATGGACTTATATATAACGGATTTTTCCTCAATTTATCTGAAGATAATATCAATTTTCACTAATTATTTTTCGAATCACAAACAAAATAATATAAATATTGTATCTAAATACTGTTAACAGTAGTATAAAAATGTTTATGCTAGAATATATCAAACTAGGGAATGCAATACCGGTATACCGAATTACCGGTAAACCGCCCGATTTTTCGGCGGTATTTTTACCGGTTTTTACCCCAAAAATCGGTATTTTCGGTATTTTTACATAAGCGCTATTTGATACATACACTAAAGTTTAAATTTCTCGGAACAAATTTATCTTTAAGTTACATAATCGCATAAACAGCTATATCTTCAAGTGATTCTATAGGATAAACAAATGTCGAATATTATTTCACTCGTCATTAAACTGAATATTTATTGCTTTACTAAGGGCTTCATATCGTGTTACAATAATAGAATTGGACTTATAGATTATGATGTTTGTTTCATCTTTTGTAAAAATGTAACGGTTTTTTAAGTGATATTTGCGCCAAAATATTTTATATCATACAGATTACCACTGCGTATTCTTTTTTTTTCTAACTTTATACATAATTATTATGATAATTAATAAATATTTTTGCTTCTTATTACATTGTGAAATATTATTTTTCGAAAACGTTTCGAAGTTTGAAAATACTATAGAAGCATCACATTGTTTTAAATAACAATACTCAACAATTATAGTAACTTATTATTTATCTCGACAAAGTATCCGATCTTAAATTAGTGCAAAAAATTTATTATTTTAAAATATTGGAGATTATGCTAATTTAACACATCAGATACAGACAATACGTTTATTATAATAATGTAATATGATCTTTTATGAGTTTTTGGTCGTTCATACTCATAAGTTTGTTTTGGCGAAAATTACTCAATATACTCGATAGTGATAATGAATTAATTAAATTGCATATACTTTTGTTAAATTATTATTTAAAAAAATAAACTTATTGTTTTATTTATTGGTTAGTTGAATATAGTTGTAGTTGTATATACATTTTTTTTATATTTGTACTACTAACTTTCAATATTGTTTACGTTTGTTTAAGATAATAAAATACCGGTAATTTACCGGTATTCCGGTTTGAAAATGAAAAATTACCGAAATGAATTGAAATTTTCCATCGGTATTGCATTCCCTATATCAAAGTCTTTATATTATATTTAATTCTAGATAAAAAACAATTAATTTTAACTTTGATAAAAATGGCAATTTTAAAACCTATTTGATTTATCATGGGCATATATATTTTTTAACTTGAAATAACTATTATTATGAAAACTAATACACAAGTAATTTCTTTCAAAGAAATTATTCAAAAACTTATTTCCTTATATAAATATCATTTTATTGTTTTAACAATAAAAATAATATTTTCCCACTTCTGGAATGTATGATTTTGAAAAATATTAGAAAAAAAAAACAAAACAATCGGAGCTGTTTTGAGGACCTTTTGTTGAAATCCTTTATTGAATCTTTTATTAAACTTATCGGGAAGTTCAAGCAACTTGCCTGAAGTCAAACTTTTGTTTGTTTCTTTTCAGGCAACAATTTGATTTTTAAATATATTTTATTTCAAATGAGATATAGTAATTACATTTATATATTTGAAGATAATGATTTTATCAAAACTTCAATTTATTTCACATTTTTTACAAAGTACTGTTATGCCATATATTACAATAAAAATACCCACTAATAAATTATAACAAAAACAAAAAACATGAATCAAAACGTTAAGTTTTATGATTTGGGTAATGTAAGCTTTTCACATATTTTTGTTTGCAGACTTAAATGCTTAGCAATCTCGTTCGGTTCTATAAGCAAATATTTTGGCACAGTTAACTCCTCGATTTTGTTCTCCTTAGATGTGTATTCCCGTATTATATAATCCTTTCCAACTTCATAAAAGTATCTGGTGTCATTGATTTTCACCAAGACCTCATCTATTCTCAAAAATAGCGTAGAAGGATAAAAAAACTTGAGGGCATAACTCGTATCTTCACATTTAACGATGCAATACCATTATCATGCAGCTCATCTTCAAACAACTTAAATCGTGATAGAAAAGGATTTCCTCACGTACTTTGAGTTTATCCAAATTAATTTCTTCCTCAGTTGTTTCTACAGTTATTTCTTCACTAACAGTACCTTTGTAATCAGTGGAGAACGTCCAGTCAAACGGTTTGATTTTTTTTGTATCCAAGTATCAGGGTTGTCTTTACGGGATTCCAACCACATCTCTGAACAAGCTATTTTGGTGTTATGGATGTCTCGGACACGTTTTAGGGCATCCAAAGCGTTGAAAGTGATTGTGCCATGGTTTTTGTATTTCAAAGCAAGAACGTTTTTAGGAAAGACCATGTCGGGTAGATGAGGGATTTCTAATATTTCGTTGTAGCTGCATAATAGGCATTTTTCTTCAGGAGTGTCTTGGCATTTTGTTGGACTTGTGCACATACTGTGCAATATGTGGGACTGGGTGTAGTTTATGTTCCAATCACGAAATGTGAATTGTTCAGAAGTTTTGGGCAGA